AGTAACTGTCCCTTGAGCTCTAAAACACACACACACACACACACACACACACACACACACACACTGGTTGGAGGTCTATTCTTAGAGACTCTCAGAAATTCAACAAAGTCACTTTGTCTAAGGCCTTGAGTCTATTAAATGACACTAAACATAGAGCAATGATTCTATGGACATCTAAGCCAGCAGAGAGATGAAAATACTGGACAATCTAAAGTTCATATTCTTGCCAGCAGCAAAGATGTGTATATTCAAAATGTTTCAAGGGTCTAGAACTTTCTAAGATAAATGTATGCCCCATTGATTAACAGTCCTAACATAGTACAGGATACCTTTTTAAACTCTGAAAGTAAAAACTAAAATAAATAATAATAAAATCAAAAGCTTAGGATAACACAGTGTAAAAATGTATATTGCTTTATTTTTAAGCTGTGAGGCATTGGATATAAGGCTTATCACATTTGAATTTTAGCAACACCCTGTGGTGGGTAAATTTTAGTGCTGTCCTTCCATGAGAAAACTGACTTTCTCCACATTCAATTTGCCCTTAGTTCTAAACTCAGAGGGCACAGATCTCTGACCAAAGAAAGGATGGTGCTTCTGCACTATGTGTTTAAGATGGTGCCAGCATTGTCTTCAGCGCTTAGTATACACTGTTGTGTTTTCCTAACTCTCCTGTCTGCTCTCTGTTTCTTCCTTCTCTCTTCACCTGTAGACTGTGGGCCATCAGTAATCCTTCAAGCTGGGCATTGCTACGTTAGAGGCCTCCTTTCCTTCTAGTTGGCAAATACTGGTCTCTGGTGGCAGAACGGTTCAGCAAATGCATTAGAGTTTGTAAATAGAGATGAGAGTGAAGACAAGGAAGTGGATGAACTGGGCTTGCTTGAGTGATGTGCCATCTACTGTAGTTCCTGGGTCCCCACGTCTGATTGGGATGTAATATAATCCCATTGTTGGTTTTTGTAGACATGGGGATTGAGCCTACCATCTTAAGCCTGTTGAGTAAGTACTTTACCACTGACCTACTTCAGTCTGGCCCTGCTTCTGGATCCTCTTCTCTGCTCTGTTTTCATTTAGATGATCTTGTAACAAGTAAGCCCTGAACATACAAACAAAGGGTTCTATTTTCATGTGAGAAAATTAAAATTTCAGACTGTATCGTCATTACACAAATTTGGCACTACAGAAGTGTCATTACTTTAAAACAGAATTTTAAAGTATTATGTTCAGTTCATAAAATATTATCTCTGTGTTCACATTTAGGGCAATCTTGATTAGTTTCTGACGAAACTCCATTATATAAATTTTTGCCCTGTGGTTTAAATGAACATCACCTCGTTAGCCCTGCTTTCATTTAACCCTCATTGCTAGCTTCTTCTGCTACTAAATAAAGAGCCTTGAGCCTGCTACTATAATAAATATTTAATTATGTTCTTATCTGGCGTATTTTGTGTCTGAATTGTATTGTTTGACTAATTGAGATGGTAATCAATGGAAACAGGGACCTTGTGTCTCCTATGTATTAAACTAAACATTTTTGGGCTTCAATTTTTATGTAGTCAAAAATGGGAAATAAGAATATACTGCAGTCTAAATCTTTAAAGGTTTTCTTTTAATTTTTAATTTTTATTTTTTTATTTCTAGTGGTTAAGCCCTTGGACTAACAGACTATCTTCACAAAGCCTTGAAATGCCATTTTCTTTTTCTTTCTCCATCCTTTCCAAACACATATAAGGATATCAGGTATTAATAAAGTTAGAAATAATTAATAAAGTTAGAAAATATACCACACCCCAAAAATTAAAAATAAAAATAATTGTTGTTATGATGTATAAGGGTATGAAAAGATCAAGCAAAGTAGTTATACACGTACTTGCTCCATCTATCCTTTCTCTCTCTCTCTCTCTCTCTCTCTCTCTCTCTCTCTCTCTCTCACTTTCCTATTTAAGCTAACAGGTGAAATTTAATTAGCCAGGGAGGGTAACATACTGAGTATCTAGTGCAAGGACTCTTTCTTAGACAATATACTTTTATGAGGATCTTTTTTCTGTTTTCTTGATTCAAGTTTGTGAAAGGAGAGAAGTTTAAAGAAGAAACAGCCAGTTATTTCATCATGTCTCCAGGCGACTGTTATTTGGTGGCATATGTGCACATACATACATACACACATACATACACACATACACACATACACACACACACACATACACACACACACACACACGTGTATATATAGCTATTCTCTAATGAAAATTTCATAGGATATTTGCCTGAAAAAAGGAAAAAGATTTTGTTGTTTGTTTGTTTGTCTTGAAACTGGGTTTCTCTTTGTAGCCTTGGCTGTCCCGGCCTCACTTTATAGACCAGGCTGGCCTCAAACTCACAGAAATCCACCTGACTCTGCCTCCCAGAGTGCTAGGATTACAGTCGTGCACCACTGCGCCTGGCTGAAGAAGGACTTCTTACTTAGGTAGAGATGTGTCTGGAAGGCTTTTTAAAGACAGCTCTTGTGCCTTAAAGGCGAGAGTATTTGAACAAATGCATTCTGCAGAAGCTTCAAGAGAAGTTCATAAGCCTACAGAGTGACTCAGTCTGCAGGCACTGCTTGCACGTGATAGTGTACATGCATTAACTCACCAGACGCCACCGAGTCCTGTGTAGTAAGGACCGCTACCTGAATTTATAGGGCAGGGAGATGCAGCTCAAAGACACTGATGTGGTGGCAGAGTACTCAAAAGTGCCAGCAAGCTTAGGGCATCACTTCCCGAGACTGAGAAAACAGTCAGGGCCCTCACTTAAAAGAGAGATTTGGGGGCTGGAGAGATGGCCTGTTGTTTAGAAAACTTGTTGCTCTTGCAGAGGTCCCACAACCATTCCTAACTCCAGTCCTAGGGGATCCGACACCCTCTTCTGGTTTCCTCAGGAACGAGGCACGCACATGGTGCGTACACATATGTACAGGTAACACATCTGTATACAAGGAAAAGTAAAGTTCAAAAAACAACAAACAAAATACACTAGAGATTTCCAGGCTTCTCTGCAGATTCTGAGCCTGTTGATGTGAGACAAGGTCTAAAATCTGGGTGATTCCATTTGATCAGGCAAGTTGGGCACACTTACTTAATTGGTTAGTACATCATAGGAATAGTATCTAACTTCCAGCTGATACTCCATCATAGAAATAATATCTAACTTCCAGCTGATACTCAGTTATTTGATCTGGGGAAAAATGTTTCTGAGACTTGGTTTCATAAATTCCAGACTGCTCTCCACTCTCTGCATAGTTAAGGATCACCCTGAACTTCTGCTCATCACGGCTCTCTCTCTAGCGCCGGGTTTGCAAATATGCATCAGTGTGGCTGTCTTATGTGACGCTGGGTATGTGAGCTCAGGGGTTCCTGTATGTGACATAAGCACTCTGCCAAGTGAGCTGCATCCCCAGGCTGAACTGGGAGAATCCTTTTAAAGACTATAGAGAATGTGGACTCCATTCTCTAGCAAAGTAACATTGGAGGTTTATGAGCACACTGTAAAATTAACAGATGCTCATAGAAAAAAGTTATAGACTATTGCTTGTGGGAAGAGAACTGGACATTTTGCTATTGACAATGCCTTTTACAGAGCTGGAGAGATGATGGTTGGGAGCACTTGCTGCTCTTCTAGATGACCTGGGTTAGACAGATTCCCGGAACTTACATGGCAGCTCATGACTGTCTGGAATTCAAGTTCTAGGGAGTCTACAGCCCTCTTCTGGCTTCTAAGGCTACCAGACATGCACAAGTACACAGATAGATGTGCAGGCAAAACACCCATATACATAAAAATAAAAATATTTTAAAATGTCTTTGACTTTTCAAAAACTTCTAGTAGGTTGCTTTAAAGATGAAAAAATGCAGCCAGGCATAGTGGTGTAATCTTTACTCCCAAACACTTGGGAGTGAGAGGCAGACAATCTCTGTGAGTCGAAGGCCAGCCTGCTCTACATAGTGAGTTCCAGGTCAGCCAGGGCTACACAGTGAGACGCCGTCTCAAATAAGTAAACAAGTAAACAAACAAACAAATGGCTAACTAATCAACAAGCACTTTTACTTTACAATGAAATCTTGGGTAAATTTTGTTGTTTGAGATCATAATGGTGGAAAAGTATGTATGTTCTATTAGAAACATAACTATTATGAAAAGTCCCCTTATTAGAGTGATCAACCAAAGTCTGACAGTAGGCCATAAGAAGCTTGCTTGTCATCTCAGAAGGGTCTTGACCCATGCCCGGGAGGAAGAAATGCAAAAGAATAGATACACCCAGTCTTCCCACTCAGCCTGCTAGCAATTGGGCCTATGCGACTATGTTTTCATAAGAACCCAAAGAACAAGGTTCAGAGATTGATGATTGTGGGGAGGCTCCTGGAGAGAGAACGCTGGAGAAAGTCGCCGAAACTGCATCTTTTCTCGCACACCCCACCCTCTGTATCTTCTCATCTATATTCTTTGTAACGATGAGTAAGAGGTAACTGTAAGAATTTCCCCGAATCTGTGAGCCAAATTCCCCCACAAAACGTAGCCAAACGGAACCCATCCTTTTTGGGTTACAATTTAAATAATAACAAAAGAAGAAGAAGAAGAGGAGGAGGAGGAGGAGGAGGAGGAGGAGGAGGAGGAGGAGGAGGAGGAGGA